ACGACGACGAGACGACGACGACGACGACGCGGCGACCGTCGACGACGACGACGACGACGACGACGACGACGACGACGACGACGACGACGACGACGACGACGACGACGACGAGACGGCGAGGGCACGGCAGCGGCGGCGGGCTGCCCGGGAGGCCGCGTGCGCCCGGCCGCAGGGCACCGCCGGGGGGGGGGAGGGGGCCAGGGCGCGCACGCGCGGCCGCCAGGGTGGCTGCGGGCGTCCTCGTCGTCGTCGTCGTCGTCGTCGTCGTCGTTGTGGTCGTCGTTGTGGTCATCCTCGTCGTCGTCGTCGCTTTCGTCGTCGTCATGTCGTCTTCATGGTCCTCGTCGTCGTCGTCGTCGTCGTCATTGTGGTCATGGTCGTCGTCGTTATGCTCCTCGTCGTCGTCATGGTCCTCGTCGTCGTTATGGTCCTACTCGTCGTAGTCGTTGTCGTTATGGTCCTCGTCGTCGTCGTTGTTAGGATTGTCGTCGTCGTTACGGTCCTCGTCGTCGTCGCTGCCGTGTCCGTTCGTCCGTCTGGTCGTTCGTCGGTCCGTCCGTCCGTCCGTCCGTCCGTCTTTCGTCGTCGTCGCCCTCGCCGTCGTCGTCGTCGTCGTCGTTCTCGTCGTCGTGGTCGTCGTTATGGTCCTCGTTGTCGTCGTCGTTGTGGTCCTCATTATCGTCGTCGTAGTCGTTATCCTTCGCATCCTCGCGTACTTCCACCGCCCACACTCCTCTTACGTGGACGAAGACGACGACACGGAGTGTGAAGGCGACAACGAGGACAAAGTTGCGGAGGACGACGACAGGGGATGATGGGGTCGAGGACAAGAAAAATGGGCTCGAGGCCAGCAGAGTCGCTGCTGGCGCGACCGCTCTCCTTCGCCCTCCCTCGTACAAACGCTTTTGCCGCTGCTTGAACACAATCGGTCGCCCTCCCTCCTTCATACCCGCTCCTCCTCCTCATCCTCCTCCTCCTCCTCCTCCTCATCCTGCCCCTCCTCCTTGCTCCCTGCTCCCTCCTCCCTCCTCCCTCCTCCCTCCTCCTCCCTCCTCCACATCCTCATCATCCTCCTCCACAGGCTCATGGCTTCCCAGTGCTGGTCCTGCACCCTATGTTCCTCAGCCGCCTCGCCTCCCCACCACTCATTGCCCTCCGCCCCCCATCCCCGTCCTCATATGCTCGTTCGATGCTACACCGTAGGCAATTTGGCCCTCAGAGCCAGCCACATTTTCTAGAGGAGCAAGAAACGGCATACAAACATCCGGCGCTCCGCGCGGCTTTCTTGGATCGGCGCTGGGCCCCACTGAGGCACAGCCCCCGACGCGCTCCGCGCTCCAGGGAGGGGGTCCAGCACAGCTGCCCGCTGGGCCGATCGGGAGCCCCGTCTGGGCCTCCTCTAAAAGTCACTGAGCAGCGAGGCGACTGACATTACACTGTCCACTGAGTCAGCGGCGGCTGAGGGAGAGCGGGCCGCGCGGTTGTTGGCGCCCTCCGCCAAAGAGATTCAGAGCCGGCCCTGGGGAGACAGGGCCTGCATGCTTGGGGGAGCCCGCACCGAACGACGACAACAACAACAAAAAAGGCGTCGGCCGCCTGCGGCAGGAGGAGGAGGAGGAGGAGGAGGAGGGTGGAGGGGCAAGGCAGGACAGAGGCGGGAGGAGGGTGGTGAGGCAAGGCAAGGCAGGGCAAAGGGGGCGGGCGAGGAGGGGCAGAGGGGCGCGCCGCTGCTCCCGGAGCACGCTCCCGGGGCGCGCGGGCCACGCCGAGGCGACGGGGGCCCCCCAGGGAGCCCCGGAGGCCCAGATGCGTATGGGCGAGCCCCTCTTGCTCTGAGGAGGAGGAGGAGGAGGAGGAGGAGGAGGAGGAGGAGGAGGAGGAGGAGGAGGGTAGGGGGAGGAGGAGGGGGTAGGAGGCGAGGAGGAGGAGGGAGGAGGAGGTAGGAGGAGGAGGAGGAGGAGGAGGAGGAGGAGGAGAGGAGGAGGGGAGGGAGGAGGAGGAGGAGGAGGGGGGGAGGGGGGGGGAGGCAGGAGGAGGAGGAGGAGGAGGAGGAGGAGGAGGAGGAGGAGGAGGAGGAGGAGGGGAGGAGAGGAGGAGGCGGATGGGGAGGAGGAGAGGGGAGGAGGAGAGGAGGAGGAGGAGGAGGAGGAAGGAGGAGGAGGAGGAGGAGGAAGGAGGAGGGGAGGAGGAGGAGGAGGAGGAGGAGGAGGAGGGGGAGGAGGGGGAGGAGGGATGTTGAGGAGGAGGGAGGAGGCTGAGGAGGAGGAGGAGGAGGATGGAGGAGGAGGAGGAGGGGAGGGGAGGAGAGGAGGACGGGGGAGGGAGGAGGGGGGGGTGGGGGGGGGAGGAGGAGGAGGAGGAGGAGGAGGCGGTGGAGAGGAGGAGGGAGGAGGAGGAGGGAGGTGGAGGGAGGAAGGGGAGGAGGAGGAGGGAGTGGGAGGAGGAGGGGAGGAGGAGGAGGGAGGGAGGAGGAGGAGGAGGCGGAGGGGAGGAGGAGGAGGAGGAGGAGGAGGAGGGAGGAGGAGGAGGAGGAAGGAGGAGGAGGAAGGGGAGGAGGAGGAGGAGGGGTAGGAGGAGGGGGGAGGGAGGAAGGAGGCGGAGGAGGAGGAGGAGGAGGAGGAGGAGGAGGAGAGGAGAGGAGGAGGAGGAGGAGGAGGAGGAGGAGGAGGAGGAGGAGGAGGAGGAGGAGGAGGAGGGGGAGGAGGAGTAGGGATTAGAAGAGGAGCAGGAGGATGGAACTCCACCGACGTGGGGATGGACAGAAAAAGGAAGTGTGGCACCCCGTACACGCGGACACACCTGACCGCGAACAAGGAGCCCTGGCCCATCGGACACTACGAAGAACTGACGAAAACGAAAGGCGGCTGCGCGAGACTCGGTTCCTGCACAGCTCCCAGGAGTGCCAGAGGCAGGAAACTGACGAAAACGCGCTACACGCCGACCAAGGGGCAAACGTGCACATGGGCACAACGCCGCCACAGGACCAACCCTGGCACAGACCTGTAGGCAGCAGCAAGGGCGCATAATTTCTTGCTTCGCGCTGCGCGAAGCGCGAAGCGCGAATAATTCCGCGCTCTCGCGCCGCCTCCCAGGGGCGAAGAGGAGGATGAGGAGTCGGATCCGAACCGCGGAGCGCGAAGCGCGAATAACTTCGCGCCATTGAGTGCGCCCTTACAGCAGGCAACACGCACCTTTTGGCGGCGCGCAGAGGGGGTAGGGGGAGGGAGTAAGGTTTCTTAGAAGGAGGCTGCATCTTAGAAGGCGCCAGCCCCACATCCGTAGACAAGGCCCGCGCCTTCTGAGAAACAGGGGTGCTTCTACGAAGCCCTCCCCCCTCCCCTACCCCCCCCTGCGCGTGGCTGAACCTTGGCGCGCCGCGCGCGCTGGAGAAGGATGGAGAAGGATGGAGAAGGCGGAGGAGGCGCGAGGGAGGCGGGGCCGCGACCCCGCTGCCGCATGCGAGGCAGCAGCGGCACAGGCCATGGAAAAACCGAGAGGGTGAAGCCAGCTGACTGAGTGCCAGACCACCCCAACCCAACCCGAAGGCCCACAGTTCGGGTTGGGGGGGGGGTACGGGTTCCACATGCGATTTTTCCATGTTTGACCGGCGCCTTGCCGTTCTCCTCCCTCCCTCTCTGTACGGTGGCCGAGCTCGCCGAACGCAGCCCGTCTTGCTCTACTCGCCAGCGCAGTGCCTCTGCCTAGCCGCCGACGCAAGAAGCGTTTTTTCAATGTTCCCCGACCTTTCGCCCCCTCCTCCTCCTCCTCCTCCTCCTCCTCCTCCTCCTCCTCCTCCTCCTCCTCCTCCTCCTCCTCCTCCCCCTCCCCCTCCCCCTACCCCTCCTCCCCCATCCTTGGAATGGAGGACAGATTGGGGGCCTTCGGGCTGCGCTGGGGTGGCGTGGTGGGCGGTGGCCGGCCCTGCCGCGGGCGACGGGCAGCAGCTGCCCCCCTCCTGGGCAGCGGCAGTCCCAAGCCGGTGAGACGTGGGGGACTGCGCTGGCCGCCGGCGCTGGGTGAGACGGCTAGACGAAGAAAAAACGCCACAAACATGGAATTTTGGCGCCTCGCGCGGATTTCTGGAATCCGCGCTGGCCCCCCTCCCTCGCGCGCCGAGCGCGCCAGGGGCGGCGCCGGAGGTGCCGCCAGGGGAGGGCCCCAAGCGCCGACTCAAGAAATCCGCGCGGAGCGCCAAAAGTTTATGCTTACAGTGGGGGCCCATGCCAAGAAACACCCAGCTTGCCTCCAGGGTGCCCTGGGTTTCTTGGGTTTCGACGGTTGTGCGATGGAGAGCGTGGCGTTTTCACACCATAGATCAATGGACGTCCTGGGGTCTCAGGTTTGGGTTTCTTGTGAAAGGTTTCTTGTGGACTGGCCTCCACTGTATGTCGTTTTTTCTTCTTTGAACGGTGAGGACCCTGCTCGCGGACGAGAGCCCTCTGCATGGCCGCGAGCCTCGGCGATGGACCCTGGGCGCTCCGGCTGGACACCGGTGGCTTTAGGTCGGGCATGTCCTCCTACAGGCGGATCTTGTACGAAAATAAACAAAAATTCAAAACAAAAAACAAGATCAAACATAGTCAAGTATAGTCGAAAATCGTCCCTCGACTATTTCCCCATATCCAAAGAATGAGGTTCTTGTTATTCTCTGACCGCGCCGGACCCCTCAGCATCATCCCTCTCCTCCCTGATCCCTCTCTGCACTAGACGATGATGATGAGTGTCATGATGATGACCATGGTATGGGGAGAGCATGAACTGAGTATGATGATGATGGTGCATGATGGATGAATATGATGATGATGATGATAATAATGATGATGATGATGATGATGATGATGATGATGATGATGATGATGATGATGATGATGATGATGCTGATGCTGATGCTGATGCTGATGCTGATGCTGGTGCTGCTGCTGCTGATGCTGATGCTGATGCTGATGCTGATGCTCATGATGATGATGATGACGACGATGACGACGACGATGACGATGACGATGACGAGGAGCAGATGATGAGGATGTCTCGAGCGGCTTGCCGGTTTTAGCACTTCTAAGGGGGGGCGCCAGGGGGTATCTCACGGCCTCCGTTCGCACCAAAATGGCGGGGATGTCTCGAGCGGTTTGCCTGTTTTGGTCGCGGACATCCTTCGTTTTCGGAGCAGATTGTGAGAATGTCTCGTGCGAGGCGCCTCCTAAGGGGGGGCCGCCGGGGGTATCTCACGGCCTCCGTTCGCGCCCAGATTGCGGGGATGTCTCAGGCGGTTTGCCTGTTTTGGTCGCGAACATCCTTCGTTTTTCGGAGCAGAGTTGGAGGATGTCTCGAGCGAGGCGCTCATTTTCGCCCCCGAGGGGGGCCAGATTTTGAGGATGTCTCGATCGGCTTGCCTGTTTGGGTGGCCAGACTCGTGGGCACAGATTCTCCCCAGGATGCCACAGGAGGCTCCAGCAGGCTCCAGGAGGCCCCAGGAGGCCACATGAGGTCCCAGGAGGCATCAGGAGGCCACAGGAAGATTCAAGAGGCCACAGGATGTTCTCAGAGGCTCCAGGAGGCCCCAGGAATCTCCAGAAGAAGGCCTCAGGAGGCCCCAGAAGGCAACAGGAGGCCCCGAGAGGCCCCAGGAGCAGGAGGCCTCAGAAGGCAACAGGAGTGGCTCCAATCCCATGTGTTTTACATACGCTCCATTAGATTGGGCCTCGCCTGGAGCACGAACCCTTGATGTTATGCGTATGTTTCCATAGATTGTCTTTCTCCTGTGTATACAATCCTAAATGTTTTACGTATGTTCCTATAGATTGGGCCTCCCCTGGGGCACGAGTCCTTGGTGTTTTACGTGTGTTCCTATAGATTGCCCTTCTCCTGCGGCTCCGATCCGCAATGTTTTATATACGTCTGCTCCTATGGATTGGGCCTCTCCTGGGACACGACTCCTCTCTAGGAGGTCCCAGGAGGCTCCAGGAGGCCCCAGGAGGCCACGCGAGGCTCCAGGAGGCCTCAGGAGGCAACTCGAAGCCCCAAGAGGCCCAAGAGGCCCCAGGAGGCCCCAAGAGGCTCCTTGAGGCCCCAGGAAGCCCCAGGAGGTTTCAGGAGGCCCCAGGAGGCCCCAGGCTCATGCGCAGAGACGCGCTCATACTTCTGAGACTCATTCGCACTCCAATTCATTCGCAGTTAGATTCATGACCAGACCGTCACATCCCAAGCCCGCTGAGATTCGAAGACTCTTGCGCCGAGACCTCACGGCGGCCAGGTCCGTGCGAACAGATGCACACATGGGGAGCCCCACGCAGTGAATCATTTTTGGGCTACTTTGAAGGGGCCCTGGGACACACAAATAAATACACACAAATAAAAAGATTCCCCATATCTTCCGACATTTTCTGGGTTTTTGTCTTCCCCACCACTTCCCAGATTTTCCCATATTTTCTGGGGAGTCGACGATTAATTGTGTCTCTGTGTTTCTTCCCCTCCTGATACTTCTGGATACTCCTCCTGTAGAGGGACACGCCCGACTCAGCAGTGGCCGTCGGGAGCCGGCCTCCTGCGCCGCGTGCACGAGCTGCTCGGCGCCTGGCACGGCCGGCGAGCGAGAGCGGCCGCCGCGGCGCGGAGGCCCCGAGGCGCTGCGGAGCCCGCCCGAGGCCGCGGGGAGCCCGCGGCGACGCCGCTCCCCTCGCGGCTCTGGCCTCCCCCCCGGGGGGGTCCCTCGCGTGGGCGGGGTCGGAGGATCGCGCCGCCTCGCCGACGCCTCGCCGACGCCTCGGCGACGCCTCGGCGGCGACCTCGGCGGCGCACGGCGGCGGCGGCGCGGAGAGGCCAGCGGACTCCACGCCGGGCCGTATCGCCGACGCCTCGGCGAGGCGGCGCGGAGCCTCCGGCCCCCAGCTGCTCCGACCCCGCCTGGGAGACCCAGGGTCGCTCCCCTCGGGGATCTGGCCCCGGCGCGCTGGTCACGGCTCTCCACACTCCACGGCTCGCCGGTAGAGGAGGGCGAAGGCGGCGAGGCAGGCGGCGGTGGCGGCGCAGAGGCCGCAGAAGAGCCCGCAGGCCTCCGGGGCCTCGCGCTCTGCGGCTGGCCTCCAGCTCACGCCCCAGCGCTCGGCCATGTAGATAAAATCCGCCGCCGTGCCTCTGGCGCGCAGTGGAGCCACACTCGGGTCACCGGTGGTGCTCAGCATTCAGGGTTTTTTTTCTCCATGCCTACAGGAGTCTTAGCTCAAGCCACAGAGAACTGATCCGCTGCACGCACACACACACACACACACACACACTCCCACAATTTTGTCCTTGCACGCGTCCTCTGCTGCGCACGGCTTCCTCTGCTATCCGCATGGCTTTCTATGTTGTTCCTACACGCGTCCTCTGCTGTGGATAGCTTCCTCTGTTGCGCATGGTTTCCTCTGCTAGCGTCCTCTGTTGCGCATGGCTCCCTCTGCTATCCGCATGACTTCCTCTGTATCCGCGTGGCTTCATCTGCTATCCGCATGGCGTCCTCTGTATCCGCATCGCTTCCTCTGCTATTCGAATGGCCTCCTGTGGACATTCTAGTGGCGTTCCAAAGATCGCCCAACAACCGTCAAACTCAGAACTAAAGTATCGTATACTAAAAAAAATGAGTAGATGAGTCGATGAGTAGAGCAGGGCACGAGTAGAGAAGTGCAAAACAGAGCAAAGTAGAGTAGAGCAGCAGCGGACAGCAGAGTAGAATAGGAAAGGAGTAGGAATAGTCAAGTTAGCCAGGTCCAGCGAGGCAGAGAGCCCCGCCTATTCCCACTCTCATTCTCACAACATGTGCATATATATATATATATATATATATATATATTATATATATATTATATGTGATGTGTTGCACATTGGGATCGGAACGCGCTCTCCCACCTGCAAACGGAGGGCGCTCTCGCGCGGCTTCACCTCCGACGACTCGGCGAAGGGAACGTCACGCGGGCCTCGTTGGGGTTTGAAGGATTGCAAAAAAAAAAAAAAAACGAAGGATTGCAAAAAAAAGATTGCACAAAAACGAAGGATTGCAAAAAAAAAAAGATTGCAAAAAAAATATCCCGGCAAAGCGACCTAACAGCGATGTGTAGAAGCATATCTGAAAGCATTCCCCTTAAGATTCAGATGAAAATCCAGTTGTCGAATTCTGCTGTTCTCGCAGTCGTAGTCGCATTCGCGATGACAGTCGCAGCGGCAACGGCAGTCGCAGTCACAGCCTCAGCCTCAGCCTGCCTCAGCCTCAGCCTCAGCCTCAGCCTCAGCCTCAGCCTCAGCCTCAGCCTCAGCTTCAGCCTCGGCCTCAGCCTCAGCTGCCTCAGCCTCAGCCTGCATCAGCCTCAGCCTCAGCCTCAGCCTGCCTCAGCATCAGCCTGCTTCAGCCTCAGCCTGCCTCAGCCTCAGCCTCAGTCTGCTTCAGCCTCAGCCTCAGTCTGCCTTCAGCCTCGGCCTCAGCCTCAGCCTGCCTCGGCCTCGGCCGCAGCATCAGCCTGCCTCAGCATTCAAAATGTGGCCCAGGAATGGAGTTCTGGGAACTAGAAGAACACGAAGTGGCCTACAGTTGGCTCCGGGCATTCAAAATCATGCCCAGGAATGGAGTTCTGGGAACTTGAAGAGCACGAAGTGGCCTACAGTTGGCTCCGGGCATCCAAAATGTGGCCCGGGAATGGAGTTCTGGGAAATCGAAGAGCACGAAGTGGCCTACAGTTGGCTCCGGGCATCCAAAATGTGGCCCGGGAATGGAGTTCTGGGAAGTCGAAGAGCACGAAGTGGCCTACAGTTGGCTCCGGGCATCCAAAATGTGGCCCGGGAATGGAGTTCTGGGAGCACCAAGAGCGATTTTGCGAGGATGTCCCAAGCGATTTCGGCTTCGACGGCAGCCTCCCCGGGTCCCGCCCAGACCCCCCTGAGGAGTCATGATGCTCTCTTTTGACACCACTAGAAACCTATCAGCAAGAGCTGTTAGGTAAAGAAGGGTTTTTTGCAATCCTTCGTTCAAACGAAGGGTTTTTTGCAATCCTTCGCCTCGCGGGGTTTTTTTGCAATCCTTCGTTTTGCAATCCTTCGAACGGCAGACCTTTAGATGGGCGCGGCGGAGACGGAGCACGCGCCGCGGTGACACGACGCTGCCACTGCCGCTCACGAGATGCGCGGCGCCTCGGGCGAGCTCGGCACCTCCGCCCGCTCCCGCGCGCGGCCCCGCCCGCCACCGCCGCTGTATCGCGCGCTGCCGGCGAGAGAGAGAGAGAGAACCGCGCGCCGAGCCCGCACGGGAGCGCCACTTTCCAGGCGAGAGGCGCACGGAGCTCGGGCGAGGGCGACCGGTCGCCCCGCCTCGCGGCGGAGCCCGGCGAGTAAAAAAAAAAAAAATGCGCGCCGCGCCGAAGCGTGGGCGAGGTAGGAGGCAGGCTGGCACGCAGCGGCGAGCGAGGCAAAAGGGAAGGAGGGAAGGGGGGAGGGAAGGAAGGAGGGAAGGGAAGGAGACGCGCGAGCAGTGCTCTATTCAAAACGAGAACCCAACGCAGGAGGGTGTGGAAACCATGCGCGCCGCGCCGAGGCCCGAACGACGTGTTCGCCCCGCTCGCGCGTCGACGACGTGGCGAGCGAGCTGCGGGTGCGCGCCGCGCCCCAGCGAGGCGCTCAATACTCCAGAGAGGCGGACGGCAGGGCGCATTGCAGCATCATTGATGCATCTTGAGCTTACTCTGGTCCTCCTGCACACTTTCCCTGACCTCCTCCTCCTCCTCCTCCTCCACCTACTCCTGGTCATGTGACTCCTGATGATGTGTGTCCGCCTCCTCCTACTCCTCCTCCTCATCATCATCCTCATCATCATCCTCATCATTATCATCATCATCAGCATCATCATCATCATCATCATCATCATCATCATCATCACCATCATCATCATCATCATCATAATCATCATCATCATCATCATCATCATCATCATCAGCAGCATCGTCATCATCCTCGACAGGAGAAGCATGAGTGTTGCATTGTTGATTTGACAAGTATGGTGGAAGCGCCCAGGTGGAGGTGTTTGCTGCCAGCTAGGTGGCAGAGTGGGAGGGAGTATATATACCAATGAGGAATCGGGATATGGCAGAGAAGAGCAGGGGTAGAGTAGGGTAGAGTCGAGTACAGCAAAGTGGGGTAGAGCAGGGTAGCGAAGGGTAGGATAGGGTAGGGTAGAATAGGTGGGATTGATGTAGAGTTGAGCAGAATAGAGTAGAGCCGAATAGAGTAGAGAAGAGAACAGTAGAGTAGACTATAGTAGAGTAGAGTAGAGGAGAGTAGGTTGGAGGAGCGTAGAGTAGGACTATATTAGAATAGGAGTAGAGTAGAGTGAAGCAGAGTAGGAGTAGAGAGAGTTGAGTAGAGTAGAGCAGGTACATGAGGAGTAGAAGTAAGAGTAGGAGTATAGCAGAGTAGAATGGAGCAGGGAATAATAGAGTAGAGTATCATGGTAAACTAGAGTCGGGTAGAATAGAGGATTGGGAGCAGAGCAAGATAGAGTAGAGTAAAGGATAGTATATATGAGTGGAGCAGAGTAGAATAGGAGCAGGGGTAGGAGTAGGAGTAGGAGTAGTAGCAGTAGTAGTAGTAGGAGTAGGAGTAGGAGTAGGAGTAGGAGTCAAGCTAGCCAGCTCGAGCGAATCAAGCATGGCATGCCCAGTCCCACCCGCCCTCCCACAACATAAGAAGCAAAGCTGGCACAACTGGGGGCCGAAGTCACACCGGCCAGCCGGTTTGGTACAGCTGATGCGGCCGCGATGGCGGTTGCCGACGGGAACTGGCGAGCGCGTGTTGAATGCCGCGCACGCATTGCCAGACGAGTCGAGAATGGCCCGGTACACCGCAGGAAGCCAGAGGTGGCCGGAGGAAGCCCGACGGTCTGACAGGACACCCCAAAGCATTTTTGTGAAAAAGCATTGGGTTTTTGATGTTTTTATGTTGAAATGCTTGCAAACACACGGTGTTCGGTAGGATTCTGACATGAACGCGCGAGTGTGCTCTTTGTGGTATTTTTTGCACAGGATTCGCGGCCTGGGTGCATGACAGAGCATCGCGAGTGCACCGCGCGATGACGTGAAATCGCTGGATTTGACAGAATTCTTAAGATTCCTATGGTTTTCCTATGATTTCAGCAAGAGAGCCCGGGCGGGAAATTTGTACAATTTTTGTGAAAAAGCATTGGGTTTTTGATGTTTTTATGTTGAAATGCTTGCAAACACACGGTGTTCGGTAGGATTCTGACATGAACGCGCGCGTGTGCTCTTTGTGGTATTTTTTGCAATGGATTATCGCCGTGGACGACAGGACGTCCATGTCGAGAGGAAAAAATAAGAAAAATGTTGATTTTGTATTGTTTTTTTACAGGTTAGGATGGGACCACCCGGATGCGCCCGCTATCTGCCGGCCTGAGGGGGGAGTAGGAGTATATTCGAATAAGGAAAAAGGATAGGAGCAGGAGTAGGAGTGGAAGTAGAAATAGGAGTAGGAATAGGAGTAGGAGTAGTAGGGTAGAGTAGGGTGGAGTGGAGTAGGGTAGGTAGGGTGGGTAGTGTAGAGTCGAATTGGTCAGAGTAGCGGAGAGTAGAGTATAGTAGGGTAGATGGTAGGGCACAGTCGGGTAGAGTAGAGCAGAGTTGAGCAGAATAGTGTAGACTAGAGTAGAGTAGAGTAGAACAGAGCAGAGCACATCCGAGCAGAGTAGAGGAGAGGGAGAGGATCGTACACTGAGAGCAGAGTTAGAGCGGGAGTGGCAGAGAAACAGAACAGAGTAGAATAGGAGTCCGCCCACCCCCGCTTGCCAGGGGGGGGAAAGGCGTGTGAGACACTTGGCTGTCCCCCTCCCGCTGTCCCATTCCCCGAAGGTCGAACATCGCGTTTGAAGGGGGGTCCCCGAGCTCCCCAACGCACCCCTGGGGCGTCCAGAGCCTGCAAGCCCACCCTCCGCGGCCGCCAAAATCCAGAGATGCCTCCTAAGATGGCTCCAGAAGAGCTTCAGTGCGCTGGGGAGGACGCAAAAACACCCTAGACAGTGTCAAAACGGCCGAAGACGCCGAAAGAAAACCCCCAGAGGACCCCCCCCCGAGGGCCTCAAATGGCAAAAAAGCATTGGTGCACCATTGGTTGTTACATGGCTTTCGCTTTTCCTGGCTCTCTGGCATCTGCACGCTCCAGACGGCCGAAGAGGCCCCCTAGACTGGCCAAAACCCGCCCACGAGACCCTCAAAACTGCACGGAAACGGCCAAGGAGGGCCTCAAGTCGGCCCAAGAGGCCCCCAAGACGGCAGAACAGACCTGAGTGTGGCCCCAAAGGAGGCCCAAGAAGGGGAACCCGCAGAGTTCCTGGGAGCCCTCCCCCAGAAGATGGCCCCTAGACTGACTACCTACCAGACCACCCCAACCCAACCCGAAGACCCGAATTTCGGGTTGGGGGGGGGTAAGGGCTCCACATGTGTTTTTTCTATGTTTCCCGACCCCCCCCCCCACTGGAAATGGAGGGTAAATCTGAGCCTTCGGGTTGGGTTGGGGTGGTTTGGTGGGTGGTGATAGACCCCCAGCTGGCTCCCAGGAGCCCCACGACATCCACCAAAAGGGCCCCCAAGACCAAACGGGGGGCCTCGACGAGGCTCCAAGAGGCGGCCACCTGGGCCGCCAGCGAGCCCCCCAAAGATGCCCCCCTATCAGCTCCAGGAGGCTTCAAAAATACTTGAACGAGACCCCCAAAAGGCTCCCGATAATCCTGAAAAACAAAAACGAAAAACAAACAAAAAAAAACTGCACCACAGGGACCTCGGCCTCAAGCAGAGCACGGACGACATGACAAACCGGTCCCGCTGTCAACGATATACCATCCTCCTGCTCCTCCGTCCTCTCCCCGTCGCCGTTGTCTGTTGCATCCTTTTCCTCCTCCTCTCTCATTCTCCGAATCTCGAGGTGAGGAGGTTGTCGCGACCATCCGAGACGTCTCTCAGGGAGCATCTCGCTTCATGGGCGACGCGCAACATATGTCAGTGTTCTATCCCGAAAAACGCAAGATTCGTGAACCCCTATGCGCAGAGTAGCGACTGCTCGGCGGCCACTCCTCCCACGCACCTGGACACTTGAAGGTCTCCCACGCGCACGGCGGCGTCCAAGAAACAGCCAACAAGCGCCCAGGAAACTCTGACGAGGCTTCAAGACGCCCACTGAGACGCCCACAAGGCCTCACTTCGTCTGGGGTCGACGGAATGGCGTAAGTCTCTTGAACAGAGCGGAGTAAAGTAGAGTAGAGTAGAAGTGAGTAGAGTAGGGCATGGTAGGGTAGAGTATAATAGGGTAGAGTAAAGTAGAGTAGCATAGGATTGATGGTAGAGTAGAGTCGGGTAGGGTAGAATAGAGCAGGAGTAGAATAGAGTGGAGTAGAGTCCACCCGAGCTGAGTCCAGTCTACTCCAGTCCAGCCTACTTCTGTCCAACCCAGTCCACTTCGTTTCAGTTGTCGTATCTCTTTGGAGTCTGCGATGACTGGCATCTTCCGAGGGCTCGGAGGACTCTCGGGGGCCGCGGACACGCGTGAGCACTGTGGCCTTCGTTCGTTCACACTGCGCTCTGACCCCACTTGACCCCACAACCCAGGCAGGGGGGTTGGATGGGCCGAAGGCCACTGGATAGATGTGGTACAGACTTGCACCGCACGCTGTGAAGAGCACCAGGAAGGAGGGGTAGAGACTGTCGACATCAAAGTGGACGTACGTGGCCTGGGTCGCGAGAGCTATGTAGCTGAGCGTCATGGCAGGAGCCACTACCCGATACCACTGTGCAAAACCTGCGCGTTGAAGCACGCGCTTGCACCAAAGGAAACCGTTGACCACGGGAGCGTTGACCAACAGCATTGTGCCGCTGTTGTAGGCAGCAGCCGTCACATCAACCTGCCAGGGGTGGATGGCTCCCCACTCGCACTGCCAGCCACCAAGGGCTCCAAAGCCTGAAGCAAAGAGCACACAACCGAGCACCGACTGTACGAACAGTGTACGCAGCAAGCCTCTCGTTGAGCACGTTCCACCCTCTATCCATGCCGTTTTATATGAAGTGCAGACGGTGATACCAGTGCCCAAGATGTTCCCAACCACATGGCCGGGAAACAATGGAATGCCCTTGTCGATCCACTGCCTGCTGCCAGCGGGCCATAAGCAAGTTACGAAGACGAGCAAGAGGCACTGAAAAATGGCTACGCTCAGCACGGGCGTCCAGGCGCGCCGCATTGCCCACACGATCTCTCTATCCACCCATCTGTACCCCTGTTCCCTGTCTTCACAGAATTCGTGACCAAAGTTTTCAATCTCCATACGAATGCGTCTTCTGTCATCCTCGTGGTAGCACTCGGCGTTGCGACTGCTACATCTCCCCGCACGCGCCAAAGTCGACCCAAGAACAACAGGCACTTTCAATCTCCCAGCAATAAAAATCTCGTACACACACCAAAGTCTCTCGTATATGTCGATATCCTTGTTCGGAACGACGACCATCCGACCAGTGTAAGTTGGAAACAAAGAGATGTATATCTGACCCAATACGCCCAAGCCGAACAAGAGAGCACCAGTAAAAACACAAGCCCTGTACACTGACTCGGTCTCGCTCCAAACCCATCGGCCCGTGCTAGCATCCACCCTTGCGCATTCGTTCAGGCCCGGCACGCACTTGGCAAAAAAACTAGGTACACTATACATCGCCGAGCCGACGAGGAAACACATCACTGGCCCAATTGATCTGAACTGCCATAAGAACTGGCGGTTCCCTTCTGCAGAAACGTGTCTCAGCACCTGGTAGAACGGGCTGTCCTCACCCTGCGTGCCCAGCTGGTCCCTGATGCTGGGGCCCTCCCCGTCCTCATTCTGGTAGATGGCGAACGCACAGATGAACATCGGCTCCTGCCTTCCAACGCTGCGCTCTAGCGTATCCACAAACATCTCCGCATTCTCGGCCCACGCGTGGGAGACCATGACGCTGATCTCCAGAGGACTCGCGCTGTTGGCCAGGAGCGCGTAGCCGACGCCCGTGCCCTCCGTCCGCGGCATGACATACCTCTGGACCATCTGGTAGAGGTTGTAGTCCTTCCTCCAGCCTGGGTCCTCCTGGCACTGTGTGAGCAGCTGCCGGACCTGGCCGACCGTGATGCCCCAGTGGACGGGCCAGACTTCGTCGCCGTCCAGGACCTGTGGCTTCGACGTGCTCCCACGTATCGTGCAGCGCGCTCGAGACAGCCACGAGAACATCGAGAGCCTCGAGACACTCGAGGCCCTCGTGGACATCTCTTGAGAACAGCGTGAGAGATTCCCGCCGAGAGTGTCCCCTGGTGTAGCCATCATGGACGGCTTGCTGTAGACACTGCTCCTCCATGGGGCCGCTGACGAGTGCCGGCCGCCGCTCTGCAACGCCGAAGCGGTCCACGTTGCGCTCAACATGGCGGGCCTCGTCGGCACCATCGAGGGCCCCCCGATGGAGCCGCTCGAAGCCAACTCGGGGGAGTGCCTCGAGGCTTCCTCCTCGTGCCCTCGACCCAGCGGCGCTCTCGGAGCCTCCGCGAGACCCTCCAGGGCGACGGCCCTCGTGGCCTCCTCGACGGCCACTGGGAGGGCGACCGCGACGCCGTCATCACCTGTCGGCGGCGAGCCCAGAGGGAAGTGAGTCAAGTGAGAAGGCGCGGGCCCTCTCAAAGGCTCCGAAGGCCTCGGGCCTTCTGAGAAAGGCCCTGAGCCTTCCCCGGAGACAGAGACGGCTTCTCGGAAGGCCGGAAGGCTTCCGAGAAGCCCCGCCGCCATCTGAGATGGCCTGTCCCTTCTCACTTCCCCACGGGCGCGCCCCCGAAGCTGGACCGTCAGTCCGCGTCGACGACGCCATCCTGGACGATCACACCACCATGAAAAGCGGGCACATGCTGATGCACGCCACCTCGCACACGCGTCTGCCACGATGCGTCAAGTGAGCACGCTAGAGCCAGAATAGCTACGGACGAGTGTAGAACCTAGAGTGGGAGGTCCGAAGACCTGAAAACAGCGTGCGGAACTCTCGACAGACCACAGCCCAACAGCTGGACACCCTCGCATACAAGCGTTGACAGAAAGAATGCCAGGAGCGTGGTCACGTAGGTGTCTTGCAAGAGGGCCCGGATAAGGCGCGGTCACGTCGCGATGACATCGCGTGGATAGATCAGCCCTGATGGAGGAACAAAGAAAATAAACATAAACGTTCGGAGCACAGCGCGGATTTCTTCGATCGGCGCTGGGCTGGACCCCCCTCCCTCCCTGGCGCGCGGAGCGCGCCAAAGGCGACGCCAGAGGCGCCGCCTGGGAGCTCCAGCTCAGATCCGAAAAATCAGCGCGGGGCTCTGATAGTATGTATATATGTCTTTGTTTGATCGACTTGAACGATCGGGCATGCAACCATCGGGCCGCATCGGATCGTCGGAATAATTACCGGAATCGAACCAAGTCGGGCCGGCCAGAATCGCAATCGAATCGGATCGATCGGATCGAATCAACAATGCCGCGTGGATCGGTCAATCTTGAAAGATCGCGGCTCTTCGATAGCGCAAGCCGTTCGATGCCAGCCAATTCCAAACACCCAACGGCGTTCAGTCTTGGACGCACGCCTCAGCGTCGCCGACGCGACAGCGCGGCGCGAGCCTGCACGGCCAGTTCGCGCCGGAGGAACGGCGCGCCGTGCCTCGCTGAGAAGCCAGAGCTAGTGGAAGCTGGTGCCGAGGGGTTAGATACTTATTCTGGGGACTTTCATGAAACCCTTCGCTCCACTCATGCGTCGATGCTGCGTCTAAGAGCAGTCGACTTGAGTCGAACTCGAGTCGACCTCGGGGCGAACTTCGTCTAAAGCAACGTGGTAACATTACATCGTACATTGCTGCCTTGTCTACTGTAAGCATGAAGGTAGAAAGTAATGGGTGAAGATCAGGGTGATCAATTAACTATCGGTGATCGAAAGGGGCGTGCACAAATTGAACAAATGGCAGGAGCGCGCTATCTATGATCCCCGGTCGAAGATAGCCCCCCTCCCGCTAGATGCGATGAGCCCCGAGAGAGCCCGAAGCAGCCCCCAAGAGGGCCCAAGAGGGTGGGCCAGAGCCGCTTCGGGGCACCAGCTGCTCCTGGGTGCACGAGGCGCGCCCGAGGGGAGAGCCCCCCCGGGAGGGCCCCGAGGCACGTCGATCCCCTTTTCCGAGCGCAGAGCTCGGACTCCAGCCCCGCGCTCCCCCTCCTCCTCCTCCTCCTCCTCCTCCTCTCCCTTCCCTCCTCCTCCTCCTCCTCCTACATCCCTCCTCCTCTCCTCATCTCTCCTCCTCCCCTCCCTCCCCTCCCCTCCTCCTCCTCCTATCCTCATCCTCCTCCGCCTCCTACTCCTCATCCTCCCTCCTCCTCCTCCTCCTCCTCCTCCTCCTACCTCCTCCTCCTCCTCCTCCTCCTCCTCCTCCTCCTCATCCTCCCCTCATCCTCCTCCTCCCTCCTACTCCTCCCCTCCTCCTCCTCCTCCTCCTCTCCTCCTCCTCCTCCTCCTCCTCCTTCCTCCGCCTCCTCGCCTCCGCCTCCGCCTCCGCCTTCTCCGCCTCCTCACTCCTACTCCTCCTCCTCCTCCTCCTCCTCCTCCTCCTCCTCCTCTCCTCCCCGCCTCTCCTCCTCTCCTCCTCCTCCTCCTCCTCCGCCTCCTCCGCCTCCTCCTCCCTCCTCCTCCTCCTCCTCCGCCTCCTTCCTCCTCCTCCTCCTCCTCCCGCCTCCTCCTCCTCCGCCTCCGCCTCGCCTAGCCTCCGCCTCCGCCTCCGCCTCCTCCTCTCCTCCTGCCTCCGCCTCCTCCTCCTCCTCCTCATCACCTCCGCTCCTCCTCCTCCTCCTCCTCCTCCCCGCCCTCCTCCACTCCTCCCTCCTCCTCCTCATCCTCCTCCTCCTCCTCCTCCTCCTCCTGCTCCTCGCCCTCTCTCCGCTCCTCTCCTCCTCCTCCTCCCCTCCTCCTCCTCATCCTCCTAATCCTCTCCTCCTCCTCCTGTCCTCCTCCTCCGCCTCCTCCTCCTCCTCCTCCTCACCCTCCTCCTTCCTCGTCCTTCTCCTCATCCTCGCCATCGTCATCGTCGTCGTCATCATCATCATAATCATCATCAGCATCATCATCATCATCATCATCATCATCATCATCATCATCATCATCACCACCACCATCATCATCATCAGCAGCAGCAGCATCATCATCAGCAGCAGCAGCATCATCAGCAACATCATCATCATCATCATCATCATCATCATCATCAGCATCATCATCATCATCAGCATCAGCATCAGCATCAGCATCAGTATCATCATCATCATCAGCAGCAGCATCATGATCATCATCATCATCATCATCATCATCATCATCATCATCATCATCAGCAGCATCAGCATCAGCAGCATCAGCATCAGCATCAGCATCAACATCATCATCATCATCATCATCATCATCATCAACAGCATCAGCATCATCCTCATCATCATCCTCGCCCTCGTCATCGTCATCATCGTCATCGTCATCATCGTCATCATCGTCATCATCGTCATCATTAGCATCAGCATCAGCATCAGCATCAGCATCAGCATCATCATCATCATCATCCTCATCATCACCCTCATCAGCATCATCATCATCAGCATCATCACCATCATCATCATCATCATCAGCAGCAGCATCATTATTAACATCATTGAAATCATCATCAGCAGCAACATCATCATCATCGACACCATCATCAGCAGCATCATCATCAGCATCATCAGCACCATCATCATCATCATCACCATCAGCATCATCATCATCAGCATCATCAGCATCGTCATGATCATCGTCACCATCACCATCACCACCACCACAAACACCATCATCATCATCAGCCGCATCATCCCTAGCATGCTCGCCATCATCATCAGCATCATCATCGTCGTCATCGGCATCGGCATCATCAACATCAGCATCATCATCATCATCGTCATCGTCATCATCAGCAGCAGCAGGATCATCATCATTCATGAACATCAGCAGCATCATCTTCCGAATCGCCATCAACATCAGCATCATCATCATCACCAGCAGCAGCAGCATCATCATCATCAGCAGCATCAGCATCATCATCAGTATCAGCCTCATCACCAGCATCATTACCATCATCATCAACATCATCATCATCATCATCATCCGCATCCGCATCATCATCTTCGACATCCTCATCATCCTCCTCCTCCTCGTCCTCGTCATCATCATCAGCATAATCATCAGCAGCATCATCATCATCATCAGCATCATCGTCAGCATCATCATCATCATCAGCATCATCATCATCGGCATCAGCAACATCATCAGCACCACCACCATCACCACCATCCTCAGCATCATCATCAGCACCAGCATCATCATCAGCATCATCAGCATCATCAACACCAGCATGAGCATCGTCATCGTCATCGTCATCGCCATCGTCATCGTCATCGTCATCGACATCATCGTCGTCATCATCGTCGTCAGCATCACCATCAGCACCATCATCATCAGCATCATCATAAACAGAATCATCATCATCATCATCAGCAGCATCATCACCATCATCAGCATCATCATCATCCTCATTCTACATCCCTCATCCCTCCTCCCTACTCCTCATCAGTCCTCCCTCCTCCTCCGCCTCCCCCTCCCTCCTTCTCGCAAGCAGCATCATCATCATAAGCATCATTATCAGCAGCAGCCTCATCATCAACGCCATCACCAACATCAACAACAACAACAACAACAACATCATCATCATCATCATCATCATCATCATCATCATCATCATCATAGTCAGATTATCATCATCATCAGCATCATCATCATCATCATCATCAGCATCAGCATCACCATCATCATCATTGTCATCATAATGCGCAGCAGCAGTAGCGGCATCTTTATCATCACCACCACCATCAGCAGCAGCACATCATCGTGAGCATCAGCATAATCATGAGCATCATCAGCATCATCATCGTCGTCGTCAGCATCACCCTCACCATCGTCATAATCATAATCATCAGCAGCAACAGCATCGTCATCGGCCGCAGCATCATCATCAGCATCATATTCATCAACGTCATCATCATCAGCATCGGCAGTATCATCATGATCATCATCATCATCATCATCATCATCATCATCATCATCATCTTCATCATCATCGTCATCATCATCATTCTCTTCATCTGCATCAGCATCAGCATCAGCATGTAGTGGAGCGGCGCGGTGGTCAGCCCTGAGAAGGCGTGCGTTCGCTCGAAGTTGGCCGATGAGTCCCACCAGGTGGCGCCTTGGCATGGCAACAACTTCTTACGGCGTTTGATTTGAGGGTGCGTCAGTGCCAATCATTTGAAGGACGTAGTGGGGGGGTGCTCCCATAGGCTCACCAAAGCGGAGTCCCAGCATTTGCCTCCCATCGCTAAGGGGGCGTCTCCCAGAATCATGCAGCTGGGGGACGGAGAGGCTGGCACGGGCGGAGAGAACGGCAGCCTGGGCGGAGACCGGGGAGCGAGCGAGCAACCCCCGACCCGCGCCACGTTCGGCGACGTGCAGTCGCCGCCCCGTCTCTGCCCACCCGACCCCCCTGCTCTTTGCCTGCACCGCCTGGTGGCGAAGGTGGTACTATTGCGCCACCAAGGCTGCAGGTCGCTGCACCTTGATCTGCGATCATCGAGACATCGTCTTGTATATACATATATACATACAGACCATCCTCAGCATCATCATCGGCATCAGCAGCATCGCCATCATCAGCATCATCATCAAAATCGTCACCATCATCATCATCATCATCATCATCATCATCATCATCATCACCATCATCA